CTAAGTCTTTTCCCAACAAAACTTAGTTAATGTCCAAAACACTAGTTTTTCGATATTCAGATTCAAGATTCAAGATTGCTGGGACAACTGTTTCTAGGCGTCTTGAATCTTGAATCCAGGTCAACAAAAACCTAGTTTTTTTTGAAAAACATATATACGTTGTTGTACTGTTTATCTCCAATCTATGCATATATATATAAACCAAAGTATTAAAAACACATGAAAAAGGTAGATCTTGGGGGAGCACCATGCCATATATATATATATATTACAATTTTACTATATATGTGGGTGTGTGTTATACTAATGACCCAGTACCCTTCGCCAAAGCTCATCAGCACTGGCCCGCTTCGGGGTCTTGTCGACGAGGCCCTGGCCCTTGTCTTTCTCCTTTTCCATCTGTTCCATCACCTCGAAGCTGTGCGTCAAGGTGAACTCCTCGTCGTCGTGATTCTCCAAGTGATCCGTCTGCACGGAGCTCTGCAAATTTTCCGGATCCCACATTTAGTGCGACCAAGATCAAGAACTGTCTGAACAAGATTGAACAAGTAGGTTTCCTACATCGTGGATGCTTTCCTCGCTGACAACACCCATTTTTCACTCTGCACCATACAATAGCAACTACACACATTTGGCTGTGGGTCCTTGGAGGCTGGTTCTATTTTTACTGAGTCGGACCTTGACCTGGACGTAGCCGGACCCTGTTAGTCTGCAAATAGCTAACCCGGATCCGCAACAGTTTTATAGAATGAATGGTGCTGCACCAATTTTCATCGCGAGCCTCAGCAGCCGTTGGGGATGTTGGCTGCATATTCCGCTGCTGCGCTTGCGTCCAGCTGCTTTTCAACAAGATTTGCACCTCGCTGCCTGACTCCTTGACGAGGGCAATGACCTCAGGTTTCACGAACACAGGCAGTCACCATCACAGTCCGGACATGTCAATGTTGACACAAAAGCGTTCGCTGAAAAGCGTTGGAGCTGTTTCTTTTTGGGGTGCTCTGTCAACCCCATTGCTACAGAATGTTGTAGGCCACAATGGGCCTGAAAAAGGTGTCCATATAAATATTGTATATAGTATATAGTATACACACGGAATCATATACGGTAAATCTACAGCACACCTTGCAAGTTGTTGAAGGTCTTTGCACTCAAATCGACGTGTCTAGCTTTCCAACACCAGAGTTGAGAAAAGGTCGGATTCATCCAAAATCCTCGATGGTGCATGCTAATATCCTCATCATGGATCATGTGTATCTCCGATCTTCTTTGCGGTGCGATCCCACAGCCACATCACTTCTTGTTACTACTAGTAAGGCACTTGTTACTACTAGCGTGGCACCTGTTACTACTAGCGTGGCACTTGTTACTACTAGCGTGTCATGTTGCATTGATCATCGCGGTAAAGATGGAAATACCGAACGCCGGAGACAGAAGGAGCGAACGTCTCGTGAGTGGGAATCACAAAAGCAGTCGGCCTGCATGGTTCAAATGTCTTTAATGATATCGTAGCAACAGTGCCACAGGGCAAATGCAGTTGAGCTGGTTTTGTAGTGTAACATCCTTAGTCAAACAATCGTTGTGTGGTAATGGCCATTAAAACACCTTAATGGCCAATGGTTGTTGGAGTCAATCGGGCATTGCCTACCTCACCAATCTTGATCCAATGTGCTTCAAAAAAACATCAAAAAACGATGTGCTTCGCCGCTCGTTCCCATTCGTTCAAAACCTCTTCCCTACTCCACAAGGTCGGTGAAGAGGTTTTACAGGAGAAGGCTCCTTCCCCTCTGCAATCAGGTGGCTCTCCCGATGTATGTGGTGAGTTCGGTGAGGTGCCTCAAATCCAAAGCACCGACCCTTGAGGTGCCTCCGACCCTTGAGGCACACGGCCACATAGGGTCCCTCTGTCAGGGAGATTTGTTGGTCTGATTCGAGTATGACAATGGTTTCATATGGTTGTCACAAGGCCAAATGAAAACCTCTGACTGATGGTTGATCGCTGATTCATTTAGTTCGGAGCATGCATAATTCTGTGACCCAAGTTGCACCATGACCTTTTCCACCTGATCGCTTTCCCAATCAGAAAGATGAACTTCCACACACCTCAGATTGGGCAAGAAGGAGTGAAGCAGTACAGTAAAGTCAAGGTGCGCCTTGAAAGCAACAAGCACCCCAAGTAACATATGCTATATTATACCTTATGTCATATACTGTAGTTGCACATATATATATATATATATTTTTATAGATGTGAGTGTGGGTCGATCAAGGACAAAAGTAGATCAAAAACATCTGGACCCATGGTGATTTGGAATGGGTGGAGCCGTGGAGCCATGGCACCACTCACCGTTGACCCAACCCATGGTGCCACCATGACCAAGACACCCAAGAACTGGACCACTAACTGGACCCATAACTGAAGGCTGCAACGGATTGTCATGTGTGTGTGTGTGTATCATGGATCAATTGGATCATTATGGCACATACTTGCCCGCATTCCTTTTTGACCTGGTGTCCTTCCATTGAACCAGTCGGTCCGATCATATCTTGTCCTTCTGACAAGAAGCTCAAGCAAAGACTCTGCGAATGCGAAAATGCCAGTTTCAGAAATATCCAAATTCCTGGGCCGGAGGAGCCTCTGTGAATCAATTATGTCTCACCTCATTAGTCCACAAACAGCTTGAATCGAATTATAGGCAAGTTGAAGCAATACAAAAAACAGATCTGGCCATATCTGGCCAAGATTTGACACCTCGAAGCCGAGTCTGGGCATTATCAGCCAAGTCTCACATGTGTGAACGCCAACATCTCTATGGCAATCTTCAGCTGATCCGGCTGAGTAAGAAGCCTCGACCGGTTGATAAAACTCTACTCCATATGCACCATCACTGCAAGTGTTTGCACATACCCATCCGATTCCTCCAATACCTTCTGAGTTCGATTCCGTCTTGATTTAATCAAAGCAATTCCCACTTGAGGCCATAGCAAAATTGTGGCAGCTTCCCATCCGTTTCCTGGTACCCCCGGTTTTGGGCATGGATATCTCGCCGTTGGAAGAACCATGGCTGGTGGTTTTTCTGCCAAGTGGCTGGATGTACCGCGACATGGCACGCATAAAGGCAGCATGCTGAGCCATCTCTGGCACCTGTGCGAACCTGCAAGCTGAGGTTATGGAAAAACAACATCTATATATTAATATATGTGTGTTCCAAAACATGTACGCGTACTATATATATATATATGTATTACAGGTTTAGCTCTACACCAGTACACACATAGAATCACCAAAATGAGAGTCTCCCTGTAAATGGGCGATGTGTTCAGTTCTTCCATCCGTAAACAGCGCCCCAAAATGCCCCAAAGTGTGCATGTCCAAGGCGCAACTTCTTAAGCTCAGGCTCCTTCTCAAAAAGGAGCTGGTAGAAATCCTGAGAATTTGGTATTTTTCTCGCTTGTGAGTCTTGGATTACAGCTGTGCTTCAGTACTTTCAGGTCGTGGTTCGCCTTTTGCTGGGTGCTTCAAAGTTGATGGAAACATCTGAAAGCAGGTTCAACCTGGCTTATCCGGCTATCCTGGCTCCTCATCGATGCTTGCTAGACTACCGAAGAAGCCATCTTCCAACTAAGCCTACGACGCGCCCAGCCATCTCGATACCGCCACACCGCTTGAGAAAGTCCGACCACGCATCCTGGCGAAATTTCAAGCACTGAGCACACTCGTCCAATTTGGTCATTTTCGACTAGCCCCTGACAAAACACGGGTCGGTCATGCATACAAGTCACTTACTTGCGGCACTGACGACTACAGCATGCAGCACTTGTCACTCACCTGTGGCCATGAGTCCAAGTTGCTAAATTAGTGCCTCTGTCCTATGGACAACACAAAGCTCGAACAGCACATACTTGGATTTCCCATTTGCAGTGCTGCCGGCATGTCATGTCCCACTGAACTCCATGAGGCAATCAGTTCTGCTTCGGCTTCATGACCATCCATGACCAGTTCTGTGGCGTTTCCCTGGTTTCTCCGGATCGAAGTTCCTGGTTCCAGAAAAAACGCAACGCGCAAATGTTGGTGATCAATCCGAAAACTTCCAGAACAAAAAAAAACAGTTCCAAAACAAATTTTCCAGAGGCGTCTGTAAGTCTCATGATGGTTTTGCTTGTGCAATGTTTTTCCCACTGCTTTTCCCATAGAATCCCCCTCATCACCATCCCTACCCCTTCCTGCAGAAACTCAGCATCTTTGGCTTTGAGCCGGAGGGGCTGCAAAGCTACGGCATCTTCAAAGCTCTTGGAGCTTCCAGAGGTGGTGTTGGACTTCACCTTGATGCTGTCGATACCCAGGTTTGGTCTTACCATTCACCGTTAAGACACATGCTGGCTTTGCACATGAGGTGCTCTGATCGGCTCATTCTTGGATCTCTTTAGGGGAGACTGGCTCCTTCGTGCAGCTTCCGATGATATGTATATAATTGCCTTTGTCTCAATCTGACCACGGGGGTGCCTCACCAAAGCATGATTTCAAGTGATATAGTATGATATAGTCGTAAGGGTGATCAATGTCAAAGCCCCTTCGACCACCCCATCCAACCCGCTCTCTGTGGCCAAGTCTCTCGCGAGATCCTTGAGGCTCGCGACTGAGTCTCAAAGCTGCTGCGCTGCTCACCACTGATCTCTTGGGACATGCGGCGCCCGGTGAAACGTCCGAAGGAGTCATCGGATGATTGGCGTGTTGAGCCAACACTTCTGCCATCAGAACACCTGAACGATGATGAACTACCCCGGCACCATGCTGAGTGCTCCTGGACTTACCTCTGGAAGACTTCCAAACATGGCCGACAACTCAGCACACATGCCAACAGATCATGTACATTCTGTAAGCAAAGACAAAAATGATCATTTTAAAACATGATGCTTGATTTTCAATGGTCTTTTGTTACATCTCGGAAATCCCCTGAAACCCCCTTGCCCTTTCCAACACATCAAGCACTGGGGCTCCCAACTGAGCTTCTCGGCTAAACCGCTAGGCTCTCTTTCCGAGACCGGCGAGCGCTCGCCATCTGGAAGATGGTTTTTGCTGCATCATTTGTTGAAGTCTTGCTCAAGGACCTCTATTCCTGATTTCTTTACATATACCGCACTTTTACACAAGAGTGATTCTTGCCATCTGACCTTCATCTCTCTTGTGACTGTTTCTGAGTACTTCTGAGTCTTCAGAGTCCCCGAGTCGTACGCATCAATGAAAGAGTTCCAACTTCAAACCAATAGGCTAAGACGTGAAATACTCTCAAGCCATGTGCAACCAAAGGAAACACAGTCCGGAGTAAGAATCGTCACACACCCAGCTGGTGTTTGCCACTAATCCGCTGGTTATGCCCAGCGACTAGTGGTCACTGGCTGAGGTGCTTGGCGCCTTGGCACCCCGTTGGTTGTATGGAAATCGGCGACCGATTTTCTAGACTCGAGTACCAAGTTCATACAGTAATCTACTAATATGTTGATGGCATCAACTGACAAAATAGATGCTGATAACATCGGCACACATCAAACCCAGGCTTTTAAACAAAAGAGAACACTGAGCTTTGAAACCAACGCTTTCTAGGAAGGATTTGAGACACAATTTGGTCACCGCTATATTCGCAATTGTGGGGCTAGTCGGGGGTCAGCACGTCCATTCGGCAACTCCTGTGTGGCGAGGGGCATCAAAGGGCCATCTGGCCGCATGCGCACCCGAGACTTCCTTAGACACTCAGGGCTTGGCAAAGCAGGCTTCTTTTTTTTGGCCCTGGATGCGGGTAGAACTCAACCGTATCTTTCAACATCTTTCTAAACCCCAACCAGCCAACAAAATCCAATAAGAAACAACTGAGACAGGCTACATACAGTTCTTACTTGATGAGCTAGATTCATCTATATAGCCAAGATACTTCGCATCAAAGTCCCACTCCTCGTAGTGACCCTCGAAAAAGGTCTCGAAATCTTTGTTGTTCCAAACCTCTGTCATTTCCGTCTCCGCCATGTTCTTCACAACGCGCACACACACACAACTCAGACCAATCCACAACTCAGACCAATCACACACATATATAATATGTATGTCTGTATATATATATATACACATTAGTTTAAAAAGGACATCACTACTCATGTTTCAACAGCTGTGCCACTTGTCAGCTTCCACAGAGTGCCACACTGCACTACCAAGCATCTGCTGGAAGTATAATCTTACCTCAGGCTTTCTCAAGCTCAACAGCTTAGCGAGCTACACATCCAAAACGATCCCAAAGCCCAAAGCCATCATTGGAAATCATGAGATGTCAAACCAGCCGGATAATCAATCAGTCACAGAATAGTCCCTCCGCGAACAAACTGAGGACCAATACTGACACACAAAAAGAATTGATAGAGAACATTCCCAAAGATTCCAAAAGTGTTGAGTCGCAGGGCGCCGGAAAGCAACAAGAATTAAAATGAATCCAAGACAATCATTACATACAAGATCACACATGTAGTCTTGGCAAGCCAAGGGCGGCAGTTTCCAAAAACAAAGACAACTATAGCAGGAAGAGGTAAGAGGTTCATCGGTTCATCTTTGTGCGACAAGCACTCGTTCCTTTCCTTCGCGGATGCCTGGCCTCTGCGACGAATGCGTGTGTGGTCAACCACTTCAACTCTCGGACTTATGGACTTATATAGCCACTTATATAGCCTTATATAGCTCTTCACTTAGCCACTATCTACGCTAACTCGCAGACTTAGCGACTGGTCTACGCCCGCGCTAAGTATTGCCTGCGCTAACTAATTATTGCCTGAGCATGCCTGAGCTAATTATTTAACTGCTCGTCATTCGTAACTATGGAAGTTTCTGTTCTTAACTAAACTTCCTTTGATATCCTTTGATAAGTACATCACAAACTGAACTCAAGCCTCTGAGCGCCGCACGCTCAAATCAGCCCGCAGATCGCCCAGTTTCACGTAGCCTCAAAAATGCCATGGTTACCTGACCTATTTGTTGTCCAAGCGAAGGTTCCATAGCAAAAGGAAACTACCTTTCCCTGAGCGAAATCCAAACCACCATTGCTGAAGCTTAGCAAGATGCAAAAGTTAATCATTATTGAGCAAAGGAAAGAAAATGCAAGGGCTTGGCATACATCGCCTACAAATTGCAACCAGATCGGCCTCCTTGTGCTCCGCTCTGGCCTTCTACGGCGCCTTTCAGCACCTCCCAACGGAACAAGCTGCAAGCGTCCGGACGCTGAACCAGGTGCAAATGGCCAGAATCTACACATCAATGTCATCAATGAACTAACGCATCAACATATTCAAGACCATGATACATTATGAATCATTATGATACATCACTGCAAGTTCATGTGTCTTTTGTATTTTTTCATCATGCTTATCGGATCCTGTGGTGCCCAGGTTATGACGCTTCAACATGTGGCGGCCTCGCTGGTGGTCATGAACTTGTAGGCCTGACTTGTGAGTGGTTCGGGTTCTGCAAACCACGGGCCACGGGCCACTTGAGTCAGAGGAGTCCGAGGAGCGATCACAAACAAGATCAAACAAGTCTTCCCAACCAAACAGGAACATGGGTCCTAACGGAGCTGGACATCCAGCAGATTGGGACGTGGGCGTGTAGCCCCACGACCGTGCCGGTACAACTGAGCTGCACGGTCGTAACTGTCCATGGCGGGAGAAGCAGCTGAGAGGAGTGAGGGCAATCACTTCCCCAGACTGAGCTGAGCATCCACACTGCTGAGAAATCCACTAGAAGGAAGTCTGCAACATCCAAGCTCTCATCTACCTGGGATGTGTGCGCCAGCCAAGCAACAGGCTGCTGATGTATGGCGAAACCCGAGCAACGGCATCATGCCCCCAGACCTTTGCCACATCAATTCCCTCAAACCTTTGGCCAAAGCGGAATACATGGTGAAGTTGCCTCCTAGGCAAGCATTAGGGCCTTAGGGTTCCGTTCACCGGTCAGCTTGGATCAGCACGCAGCCGTCGATTGTCGACCATTCACAGGTCCCACACCCCAGTGTCCGGTGTCCCAAGGGCCCGTTCGGGATGAGGTTTGGGTCCTTTGAGCTGCCGTTCGGTCTGCTCTTCTTCGTTCCATCCCGTTTCCTTCAGGATGTGCCGAGCCGATCTGTGCATACATGGATGTGCCTGATCGTTATGGCCAGTCATGACTAAGACCCAGGATCGGGATGCTGACAACGTCCGTGAATCTCTGGGTCGGAGCACCGCGGAACTTTCAACAAATGCTTCATCACACGCACCGCCACACCTTGCCCGCCATTCGCAGCTGATCAGGACCGCGGAAGGACATGTATCTGCCCGGCCAGAAAGCACCTGCGACTCAGCAAATTGGCAAATTAGCTTGGCACAGAAATGCAAAGAATGGTCATTATATGAAACAAGCTTGTGGGCTTTTGTCTCCAATTTCGTGTCCATGTTACAAAAAATGAAGCCAATCAAGCTCACCCATCAATGCGATAACAGTATCAGTAAACAGTAACACTTAACAGCCTGGGCCTGTTATCTAAAACAAAGTTCCTTGATGAAGGCAGTGTTAGTTTCACGTCAAAGGGCACCTCTCGATTGCCGTGCCTGGCCTTCAAAGCGGTAGGCCCCCTGGCTGAAGGGTGAGGCGCTTACCTAAGCAGGATGACCAGCTTGTCCGCTGGACGTGTTGAAAACAAATCAAGCCCACTGCTCCCGACTCCGAAGTGGTGTAGAAACAAATCGGTCAAACACAAAGCGAAGCAGGCACGTCGATGGCTGCGGGGCGATGCGGACTTGAGAATCAGGCTATAAGGTTGCACCTCTTCATATCCTGAGATCGGCGACTACCCGGAACGTCGCCAAAGTGCTTACGCTTGAGCAAACCTCATGGGCCATAAACCACACACGTGGTTTTTTCACACGCCCATGGCCCTGCAAATAGCAGAGGCATAAAATACAACTACAGTGCTGGAAAGTGAGGTGACCTTATAAACACCTGCCTGTGCTTTCCGGATGCGACAATGGGGGTCTTGTAATTCGCTCTGGTGATCTTGTGGGAACGGCAACAACAAGCCTGAGAGCAGCGCAACAAAAAAATGATTCGACAAACGTATAGTTTCTCCCTCGTCCACCACGTTCTACTCCCCCAACTCTGCTGCATGCCATTCATGCATAATGATATAAATTGATACAAATTGATTGTGCCAAACATAGCGCTACCTCACCCAGCCCAGAATTCTTGAGCAACAAAGCCCTGGATTGCTTTGGGAGCCACTTTCGGCTCCTGATGTGGCCAGTCCTGATCCTCAGAAAGTTCACATGCGCTTTCAACGGTGTCATCCTCCTCTTGGCCTAGCATGACCAAGCGACTGACGAAACGTGTCCAAATGCTCTGATCGATGTGTTGAATTGGGAATGGGACGTCAAACCTAACAACCACACCCAGGTATGGTATACCTACTTAGGCAACCCCCCTGTAAACTATGCTATTCATTTTGTGACGCCGGGAAGCTGAGATTTTGGCGTTTGCGCTCAGCAACGCAGCACTAGGTCACTATATAATAGGTCTCGCTCATCAAATCACATGTGTCATTCTGTTTTTTCTCCCAGCCTGCTTCAAATTGGAAGCTGACATTGATGCCACCTTCCATTCCCTGGCCTGCAACACGCCAAATCCGTTGCAACATGCAAAACACCACAAGCGGGACTCGCTCCACACACCACAGCCATCGCCCAGGGCACCTGCCGTTTCGCGTGCCCGAAGCCGGCACATGTTGTTGACTTCTGGCAGCCACCAAAGCGAGAACTTCGCAGCCTGGAAAAACTCCTGCAGCGAAAGGGAAGGAAGATCGGAGCCGCCGAATCATGGGTACATTTCCCATCATTTCCCCAAGCGAATCTTGGGTCTTGGATGGGTTTTCGACACACGCTTGACATATCCTTGTTCATCACTGAACGGGTCTCTGCTCGGATGTCTCCCTGTTCTGGTAACGACCATATGGTTCTGAATCTTCTGGATTGATGACGTCTCAGGAGAAACCTTCTGCAGCTATGGCTGTGTATGAGATGGAGTCACCTCCTGGCAATTATCCTGTCCAATATGTATATTTACCTGCATGTACCCACATGGTTCTCAATGACCATTGAACACCAGCGGCTTGGGCAAAAAGTGGCATCTCATAACAACTTCACAAATAACTGCATTGGGCCAAATGAGCACAAGGACAAAATCATACCATTACTAAGACTACAAACTTTCTGTCTCTCTCTCTCTCTCTTCCAAACTTGGCAGCAGCAACGGCGATACACAAAAAGCAAATTACAAGCCCATTTTTTGGCAACACGCATCAAATGGAACAAAGAGCACAATACAGGGCTTCGTGGAGGCCAAAAATTGCACATACATCCCTGGCCCGCGTACAGTAGCACGACATGCCGAAAAATGCTGAAACGTAGCCCACGCCCTCCCCGTGGTCAAGCCCTTCCTGGAAAGCTATGCCGAGTGCATCATCTCTGGACCTCAAGGGTGTGCCACATGACACAAAGCTAATTACAGTAGAAAACAACTGCAGTACAACCTGTGTGTGTAGATGTCCCACACAGGAACTGCAGTTTGTAGATTCCACGTCCATCTTCTTCCCATGGTGCAAGTGCAGCTGTAACTCCCTACGAGTGTCTCAGAGGCGTTGCTGTCAAGGCTAGGTGCGCGGCTGAACCAGCAACTGATTGTCCACAATTCGGACGAACTTATCCGAATGCCCTGACCGAATCATGCGAATCACGGATTGGTCTTCGTGAAGTCGGTCCCAGACTTAGAGGATCTTGGAGGTCTTTTCACTTTTGATCCAGTATCCGAGCGTCAGGGGAAATGCTTCAGGCCACTTCTGTGGGAAGTGCTAATATGCTAGGGATCAAGATGCCGTGAGCACAACCCGAATTCATCCAAAGGCCCACTGAAATGCCCGCCTAAAGGACAAAGCATGAATTCCTGGAGGGCCGATCGGAAGCCTTTTTCGATCAAAGAAGCCAAACCCTCAGTCTGATCACAAAAATAATCAAAAATAGTATGGCTTAGCCTGCGTTGTGGTGTTCACATTCCGTTCATCCACCAACTAGTTGTCAAGACCAGAACAACCTGTACAACCATGGAACTGGTAAGTATATAGATTGGACCAAATACTGCCGCACCCGCCCCGGGATCGCCGGTTCCGAACCCCATCATCGACATCCACTCCAGCACCGACATAGCACGACATCTGGCGGCATGTGTTTGTCCCAAGTTTGGTGGTCATGAGAAGTGATGAGATGGCTTCGCATAGCTTTGCCGAACTGTCTCCTGAACCCCCCCGCGAAAAAACCCACAGGCCCAGGCTTGGTCCTTTGGAATGCTCATCCTGGGCTTGATAAATTGCGTCCTCAGGCACCCATGGGTAGCTAGTTGAGATGGGGGGCGGACTACGCGAACCGTGGCCAAACCCTTGCCAATTTGCAATTCAATGCACAGCTGTCGCAAACGAACGTCTTTGGCACACGCAAGAGGAAAAAGGCATACAACGAATGAATATTCAAAGAAAAGAAAGGCGCGCGCTCACACACACACACACTGACTCTGACACTGTGAAAGGAATTGAATGACAAATGTGAGCATCTAAAAACTTGCACAGTTGGGAGCCAATGAAAGGCACTAATTGTCTTCCGAAATATTCCAACGTCCACTGCCAGAATGAGTTGGAATGCAAAAGAAACGTCGGTGCTTCAGCTGGCACCGGAACCGGCAAGCATCACAACGCGTCTCCCACGCCGAGGCGTCTCTCATCGAAAGACCTTCCCCCGGTCGCTGGACTTCATTGGACCGCGACCGGATGCCACACACAAACACAGCGACCGGATGCCACCGCATTTCGGTGTTGAAGTCATGTTGAACATGTTTGCACGTGCAATAAATGGCGGGTCATACCTGTCAATTCCACCATGTTCCACCGAACACAAGCTTCCAATGTGGACCCCCCAAACAGCATGGCGTAATGTTGCATGCCTGCATGTTGAGGGCCTAGGCCGTTACAACTGACAGGACGTGGAGCAATCCCTCCACACTGTACATGCAGTGGGTCAAAGTGTGTTCCTCATTGTTTCTCTGTGTGCAACTGCCAAGTGACATTGTCAGACCTAGAGTTGAGGAGGATTTGAACAGGCAAATGCAACTATACAGGACCAGTCATGGCCTCCCAAACCGCCCAGCTAGGTCGGGCTATGCGGCAAAGAGTCTCGAGCCGGATATTCAAGCGCTTCCTTTCGATCGCTTGAAGCATCTGATCATAACCTCAAGAAAACATTTGCTGCACGTGTCTGTCAGGAGTGGAAAGGCTGACCAAAACGAAAGGATGGTCCAGGGTTCGTCCTAAAATCTCCTAAATTCTTATTTTTAGCCAAAGACTTGAGAGTCCTTTACCGCAGCAGTGCAGAATTTGAATGACAGCTGTTTAAGGCTGCTTACATGCAACTTTGACATGTTAATGAAATGAAACCTAAAAACACAAAGCATTGCTGCAGAATCATCACTATCACTTTGTGCAGCACCCACACTTGGTGCGATGCTTTGGCGTTTCAGCGGATTGCTGATAGTCTCGTACCTTGGGTCGGGCAGGACAAAGGAGAGAGTAGCTGCAGCTTCCAACAATCCGCAGTCCTGCCAATGCAGCAAAGGTACGCCAAGTTGATCTGACGGATTTTAACTTCTGCTTCTGCTCTATCTGCTGGATGCTTGTCCGGATGCCATTGGAGAACAAGCTTCCGGTAGCCTCAAACATGCTCGAAGCTGTTGGGTCACACGCACATATATAGTGCCCACCAAACGCAAAGGACCATGACATAAATACATCATATAATACGGCAATATATTAATACAGCAATAAAAGCGCGAGTCGTTCTTTCTTGACTGCCTGGACTCAACTCACAACTCCACGCATCCGCGCCGGAGCAAAGATGTCTCATCAGACATCGTCACCGAAAAAGACGTATCCACGGTCCCTGAGAAAAAAGTAAACAAAATAAACGCACGCCCTCAATCCCTCAATTCTAACCAGATCGTCTCAACACCGGGAGTTGACTCCGAACCCAGCAACCCTTCTTGATCGCTGCATCGTCTGCCCGGAGATCGATGCCCAAAACCTGGGTCGAACAAGTCGAAGCTGTTGACCATCGGCGTCAAAGGTGCCAAGAACTGACCACCCTATCCAGGGAGCGGCCCTTGAATGCGGGGCGGAGTGCATGTGGATCATGTGGTAACAAAATGTGACCAAAGGGGGGCCCCCAACTAATGGGTATGGCTGAGTCCATTTTACCATATTGTACTCAATCATACACACCCAAATATCCGCCCACCGTAGATCTTGACACCACACGAGGTCTCAAGCGTCCAGCGCAGAAGGCGCAGTTCTGGGCCTCGTAATGGTTTGGTGGCTCATTGGCAGGCTTTGGTGGCGGCTTCGGTGCTATACCTGGGGTAGAGCAACTGCGATTCACAAGCCGCAACATCTGCCTAATGATATAAATTGCCCATGAAATTGCTATGCCTACCTTGTAATATACCCCCGGCAAAAACTAACAAACCAAACCAACATCACTGGTTTGTGCAGGTCAATTGTCCTTCTGTGATCTTTCTTCAGGTTCCAAGCGGGTAAATGCTATGGTCAAAGCAAAGCTTACTTGGGCACCCTTTCAGGCATCAATAAACAGTCTCTCGACGGATCTCGGCTTCTTCGACAATTCCCGCCTTTCCGCGCATTTGCTTTCTCTGCTGCCCGGGCTCGAATCTCCAATAGAACATCCACAGTTCGAGGAGGCATGCCAGGGATGTCCAAAGGCATTCCAGCTCGAGCCACCTGAGCTTTGACTCCCTTGAGAAAGCAACAACAGCCTTAGAATTCAGCATGGACGGAAAATCAACTATTGGAGGCCGTCAGTCTACAATCAATCTTGTTACTCATTCTCCAGCCATTTTTATATATGCATATACTGTGTATATATATATATATATATGAGCGCAATTCCTGCCGCAGCTTTCCTGGCAAACGGAACGGTGAGGGGCACACTCCTGGAACAGGAACAGGCTCTGGCTCTTCCTTAGTGCACGGCACTAACCAAATCAAAACACATCTCATCTATTTCATCTACCTTTGTCCCAGACCAGTGGACATTGGGGAAAAAGCAATGGCATTAACAACTAAGCGTAACTTGAAGCAACTGTTGGTCAAAACGCTAAGGTCACCATGTTGCGAAGAGCCACCAAAGAACGTGAATCGTTGACCGGTTGAGGTCACTACCGGCTTCTCATCGCCAGCCTTTTGGAAGAGCAACTGGAGCAGGCTTCGGTCCTTGGACTGAAGTGGGGACTCTTTAGCATGTCTAACACCCCAACTCTACTGGCGTCCCTACCCTAACTGAGGTCTCTATTATTGAGAACTTCAAAAAACTTGTCACGACAAAATCAAACGACATTCAAGGGCTCAAAGCAGTTCCAAAGAACTTCGAATCAATTCTTGGCAAAATGGTGTGTGGCAGCTTGCTGTGCAGCATATTAGCCCCAGACGTTGCGCAGCGGAACCAGAAAAAAAACAGGCAATCACGGGATCATCCAAGAAGAAAGGACAACTGTTTGTAGCAACAGATAGCAACAACACGTGAATGCTGTTGCAAGCTTAACACATGGTACAAACACAAGACGCAAGCCCCCCAAACATCTTTCAAACAGACTTTCCTCGTGTTTCAGTTGAGTGCCCTTGTGCCACTTCCAGCTTGCACCACACAGCCGCCAAAGCACCCCAAACAAATTAATAATCTTACCTTAGTTGCCTTAGTTTAAAGTTTTCCCGCAGCCAGCTACCCCAGCACCAGCACCCCAGCACCCAATGGTCCAAGTTCTCCCAGCTTTCTCGATTTGGCCTCCGCCTCTTGCTGCCAAAGATGCTGAGATGGAAACAGGAAGTCAGGAACTTAGTCGTTTTACTGCCTCTTCTGCGAGAGAAACGCCTAATTAAACTACCAGCATTCTTGCAAACTGACCCCCCTTCCCAACATCCCCGTTCGAAGCAGTCACTGCCACTGTGACTGTGGTGGGTCGAAAAATCAAAGCAAAATTGTCCGGATCATTCTGTGTGGCCTTACTACTAGGAGCAAGGACTCCTGGCATCGCTACTAGGAGCAAGGACGCTACTAGGGGCTTCTGGCCTTACTACT